ACTTCATATGGCCCTGTGTGATGATGTTCTTTTCCATCAGTATCAAGCCTCAGGCCTTCCATTCCCTTCAGACTGATGTAATTGCTCAGAGGATTGCTCAGCCATAATAACTCCAAGTAAAGTTACACTGCTGGCCTTCTCTTTGCTTCAGCCATTTCCCTCTGTGTCCTACCTGTTTCTCATTAGCTGTAGTTATTATACAGCTCACTGATATCCTATTAACAATGTCATATACAACCACCCACATCCTATTAACTCCACCTATTATGCCACCTACATTGGTCCTCTTAATTGAATCTATTGTGCTACACATCCTACTTATCTCCATTTAGCTGTATCTATCAAATAATCTACCTTATTTACTGTACCATCCAGTCTCTTGCAACTGTTGTCTGACTTTCTAGAAACCTGTTTGTAATATCTTTGATGCTGCCTAGCTGTGATCTGTTAAAACTGATCACCCGTTTAGATCTTATTAGATCCAGATATCAAAAGCCCAGCAGGAAATTACACGTATCATTGATTCTGTGGACCAGCCCTGAGTGTGCAGAGTATGCAGGGGGAATCAGCCCTAAAGTACACTCTTAAGAAGTATCTTCTCCTTTGACAAATAGCATACTGCCCATGAGGCAATATGAGCCACATTGATGGGGGGAGGGAGGAAGAGGGTGGGGGGGGGAGCGAGAGAGTGAGTGACTGTGTGTGTGTGTGTGTGTGTGTGTGTGTGTGTGTGTGTGTGTTGAGGGGATGTGGCATGAAAGAAATGGGGGTTGGGAGTCTCACTCCTGGTTGAGAAGGGAGAGCCTAGGAGGAGAATACCCCGTGGGGAGTGGTGCTTGGGGATGGCGGGAGAGGACTGCAGGAAGAGGAAGTCAGAGTTTGTCAGGGCAGAACCCTTTTGACACCATCTTTTTTTGTTAATGACTGAGCCTGCATGGCTGTGCATCATAGCAGCCCTCGGAATGTTGCCAGAATGACAGCGTCTCCCCTTTGCTTTCCAGTCTTACGTTGTTATTTGAGCCGCTGATGAAGATGAGGCTCTGCCCCCAGAGGCCCCCCGCCCCACCTGCCCCCTTGGGCCACATCAGTGCTTGCTTAGCAGGGCACTTCAGTGCTTCCTTACAGGCCTGTGTGTTGTGCCTACAGACCGACAACAAGAGAGAGATGCCAATAGCTAGGACAGGGCCAGTCATATAGCAAGTGCTGGTGAAGTATTGGCTGAGCAGAGCTGCACGGTGACATGTAGAATCTGTCTCTCCCTGAGGACGTGTTGACCAGGCCCCTGGCCTGTGTGTCTGAGCCACAGTGATGAGAGCTCTAAAGGCCTCCAGGCAGGATGAGTCCATCTGGAAGCTCAGGGAAAGTACCTGCCTGGACTGGGATCAATAGGATTCCTCCCGGAATTCATGTGTGCCTGGTACCTCAGCCTGTCACTTCATTTAAATTGCCATTCATGATGATTCTGTCATCACAGATCTTACTTCTGAGGTCAGGAAGGATCAGGAGCCCTTGACACACTAGGTCTACTGTCTGTAGGAACATGTGTGTGTTAAAAAGTCCAGTAAGCTGTGTGTATGTAACAGAAATATCAGGTGGCCCTATATTAATCTTCTATATTTCTAAAACACTTTTTAAAAGCACTACTACATCTGTGATCTTATTTGCATGCTTTTAAAAAATTATCCTGGGCTCTCATTGTGTAGATGGGAAAACTAAGGCTCTACTAGGGTCTCATAGTTTGGTCAGGATTGCAAGTCTCCTAAGTGTTATCTAGCCCCCTCTCTGGATGGCATACATATTAAGAATGGGGAGAATTTTCAGAACCTAGCCATGGCCCATGCTAAACATGTCTGTGCCTCACCTCTGGGCAGCCTTGGGGGACAGTCTGCCTTACGGCCTGTGTGTTGGGCGGAAGCTTTCACAGGTGTCACTTGATAGCTGTGGGTGCCAAGCAGAGCTGTGCAATGCCCCAGGCCTAGCATTGTGTAAATGAAATGTCCCCACTGGCCCATCTTCATAGCTGGCCTCTGAATTCCATGTTTACCAAACACTGCTGATGCCTCACCCCAAACACAGCTGAAGTCCAGGAGTGCTTCCTGTGTCCAAAGTCCACTCCCCTCATCCTGCTCCCTGAACTCACCAAGGAGCAGGCATTGACCAGTCCCCTGGCATCTGTGCCTGAGCCACAGTGATGAGGGCTCTGAAGGCCTCCAGCAGGATGCGTCTATCTGGAAGCTCTGGGAAAGTACCTGACTGTACTGAGCTAAATAGTGTTTCTCCACAAATTCATGTATACCTGGCACCTCAGAATGTGACTTCATTTGGGAATAGGTTCTTTATGGATATAACTTTTCAGGCATCTTGAGAGAAAATCCTCCTGGATTTGGGGTAGCCTTTAAATCCAGTGATTGATGCCCTTATAAGGAGAGTAGAGGACAGAGGGAAGAAGGCACTGTGAAAATGGAGGCAGTGATGCTGCCATAAGCCAAGGGATCCTAGGAGCCACCAGAAGCTGGAAGAGGTAAGGAAGCATTCCTGCCAATACCTTGATTTCAGACTTCTGGCCTCCAGAACCCAGAGAGAATACATGTCTGTTATTTTAATCCACTAAGTTTGGTAAGTTGTTTGGCAGCCACAGGACACATACTGGCTGTCTAGCAGGAGATGGAGCTATGGGGCCAGTCCTGGAGCCAGGCTGCCAGAGGTCCTCTGCTGCCCTCACCTCTCTTTCCTGCAGGGCCTGGGAGAACACTGTGGAAAGCCAGGCTAAGGCGCAAGGAAGCCCAGGGCTTGACTTCCCTGTTGTCACTGCAATCTTGGTGGAGACTTCTGTGCCCTCTCACCATTATTACTACTACCTTTTTTTAGTTCCCATGATATGCCAGGCACCGTGCAAGTCTTTACATCATTTCATTCAGTCCTTATAAGGACACTATTCAGTAAGTTGCATATTTATCCCTAGTTTTTCATTTTAGATTCATTAACTTGCTCAAGGTTCCACAGCTGGCAAGTGGCAAAGCCAGAATTTGAACTCGTCCCAGTTGAGAGCCCGCACACGTACCACTATGCCTTCATGACTTCCCATGACGTATTCATAATAATGGCAGCTAATGGTTGATCTAGCAAGAAGAGGGCCTGTAATCATCCCCAGGGGCTTCCCGCAGCCTCCTTCCTCTTCCTACCACTGTTTGCCTGCCTCCTCCCTGTGAACCAGCCATGTCACATGATCCCCGTTCCTTGGATGGCCTGTCAGGTTACACATCAGGTGATCTTTCTCTGGTAGCTGGTCCCTGTCCCTTTCCACCTGACAAACTCTTGCTCAGCCCACATGGCCCAGTTTAAATGTGCTCTGTGCATTCTACCATTCAGCACTTACCATGTGGATTGTAAATCCCCCTGGTGTGTGTGTGTCTTTCCCCAGCTGGAGTGGGAGTGCCTTTGACATGAGATTGGGTCTTTCCATTTTGGCATCTTGTATCTTCCCAGCATCTCTGGCTCTCCAAAACCCCCAATAAATGTTTGAATAAGTGAAACATGCAGAAGACATGAAGATCATTAAGTAACAAATACTCAGCAGAAAGGGCTGTTAATTTTAAAAAAAGAAGAAAAAAGAACATCAGATATTCTAAGACAAGTATTTGTAGAAGGAATCATTAAAAGCTTTGAGTTTTGAAAGCAAATATTTAATTTAGGCTTCCCCCTTCTGTATGCTTACAAATGGCACTAAATTCAGTATAATGCTCAATCTACTTTTTGAGATTTACTGTGGGACTCATGGATTTTAAGGAAAAAAATGTAGTTCATTTTAAATGCCTACATTTCACAGTCATTCTTTTAACACACGCAATTGCAGTGACAAAGGTAATGACTTCCTAGCTAGCCGTATTCAAGAGCAATGTCAAACATTTACATTTATAAAGCTGTCTGTGAAATGTGAAATGTGATGCCCCCATTCAAATGGCCCTCCTGATCTTGCCGGGCACCCTTTTCCTCTTGGCTGCTGGTACCTTCCTCTCATTGCAAAGGACAAGGCACATCTGAGTGTCTCTAGCTCATTCCCCACCGCTTAGAACTCTTGAAACCTGCAGGGAGGCTGACCGGGAAGGACAGAGGACCCTATATTAGGGCTTCGGGATCCTAGATGCCCAGGGCTCTCCTATTAGTGCTATTTCACAGTTACTACAGGTTTTGTTTTTTGTTTTTTTAACAGTGATGATGATGATGGTGATTTTTGTGTCTTGTCCATGAATCACACAATGTTATTCTGGGGGGATACATAACCTGATTTCAAAAAGCTCATCTAAAAGTACAGATTTTGGAACATGACCTACATGTTTACAGTGCCATGTGAGATTATACTTTTTCTCAGACTCATGGACTTTTTTCCTTTTTCACTTATTTACTGCTTTAGTCCTCTAAACATGGATTCTTCTTTTTCTTTTTTAGCCAATACAGGGTCTAACTCTGTGACCCAAGCTGGAGCCCAGTGGCACATTCACAGCTCACTATAACCTCTAACTCCTGGCCTCAAGTGATCCTTCCTCCTTGGCCTCTCAAGTAGCTAGGACTACAGAAACATGCCACCATCCCTGGCTAATTTTGTTGTTGTTGTTTTGTAGAGATGAGGTCCCACTATGTTTCCCAGGCTGGTCTCCAACTCTTGGACTCAAGTGATTCTCCTACCTCAGCCTCTCTAAGTGCTGAGATTACAGGGGCCTGGCCATAAACATGTATTCTTTAAAAGCTTGCCCTATTTCTAAACATGGTTTGTATTTGCAGTAGTCCACTCCTCATTTTATGCTGACTCTGATGGGAATGTAGGACTGAACTGCTGGAATTCTAGTTACAAAAGACTTTCCGGGAGGCATGTGTCTTATGTGTCAACCGAGACATGTGTTGTTTCTCAGGTTGTCTACTCCTAAAGGAGACAGTTTGCCCATGTGGGAGGTCCTGCCCCAAGCATTTCTAACTGCTCTTCTATCTCTGTTCTCCCTCTGCAGGCTGGCCGTGGGTGACCCTCTCTGTCCTGGGATTCCTGTACTGCTACTCCCATGTGGGCATTGCCTGGGCCCAGACCTACGCCATGGACTAATGCTATTGGGCTCAGGCCAGTCTTTGCTGCTGGCCTTCAAGGCAGATGGTGCTTCACCCTGACCTCTCACTGCAGGACAGTCTCTAAGGGATTTGATCTTCTCATCTTCTGTTGAATATCCTCACTCCAAGACTGGAAGCTGGAGCTCTCAAAGAAAATTCACAGCCAGACAGTCTACTGATTTAGAGTCTCTGAGATCTACTCCAACCCATCATTTTCCTATTGAGTAAGCTGGGGTCCAGGGCAGTAGTGTGTCTTGTCCAGCTATACATGGTGACATTTTGGTCTAGAACCTAGTCTTATGAGCCCTTTGGATTCTTTCTCCTTAACCAAGAATAGAATATAGTGGACATTTCTTGACTGAGACACAGACATCCTGATTAGTGATAGCCTGTCTTCTGGTCAATATGTATAAAATAGTTGAGTGACATTGATGTTTGAGTGACCTCCTTCATCACATCCTTCAGGGTCTCCAGAAGCAGCACCAGGGTTTGAGCTTCATGCTTCAGCCCCTCTGTAGGAAGGAGACCAAGCCCCAGCTGGCTTTTGAATTACCTAGTCCAAGAAGATGGTAACAGCCCTGTAGAATTCTAAGGCATCCATACCCAAGGAGTCCTGTGATTTGAGCCTCAGTAGGATGATCTACATTTGGGTGCTTGTTTCTGAGAGTCGCAGAGAAGTATAATATGGTAGTTCCTCTACGTGACAGCAAATAGTTTCTTAATAAAGAAGCAGAATTTAGAAACCATGGGATAGTATGTCCACAGATGGGTGCTATCAGGCTAGTTACTAGGATGGTGTCCTGGGGTCTTATCCATTCTCTCCACACAAAAGTCATCCTCCTCCTCAGTGATTCAGGTTTAGTGGTTGATGATGTTTGGGTTTGATTCAAATGAAGCCTTTTCTGTCATGTAGATAATCTACATGTTTGTAGAATGATTTTGAATATGTTTGAAGAAAATGTTTAAAATCTAAATAAACTCACATACCTTGATTATTCACTCCTCTAAAAAGATGCTGGATAGGCTACCAAAGGCCCCAAGTGGTAGATAATTCAGAATACTTCTGTTTGAATTTGGATTTTATTCTTGGAGTGGGGAGGGGTAAAGGAAACTTAAAATTTGAATCCATAATATATCTAATTACAGGAGAACTTACCACATCTCAAGTACGTGAATGAAGCTGTCATTGAGTGAAATGTTCACTTGGACCTAGTGCTGCCTCCTGTTTGTTACATGGCATGGCCCGTATGTCTTGGCTGTGGTTATGAACTCATTGAGGCTTAAACTAATGGAGTACAGGACCATTTTGTTGACTGTCTTTCTTCATAGCTTCTCTGCTTGGCAAAGAAAGGAGAGGGGGCCAGATACTGACTAACTGGGGTGGTCACATTAGGTGTTAACTAAAGCAAAAGACAGAGGCTAGAGGGGGGTAGGTAGAACTAGCACAGCAGCAGCCTCAGCAGCTGGCTTGGTAAATGAGAGACAGACAGAGAGACAGAGGGGCAGACAGACAGAGACATGGGGCCAGTGATTGCAGGGTGCTCAGAAGTTTTAAGGAGGGAATAGGGAAGGAGTGAACACCTAAGTGAACGCAGTAAACCTTCATGGACTAACACTGATTCACGATTTGTGGCCAGCCAGAAGGAGTTTGGCTGTAGTTTACTTGGAAAGAAAGGGCTTGCTAAGAAAAAAAGGAGTATAAAAATGATGATAAGGAAGTGTCTAATGTATGTGTACATATAAATGATACAAAAGTTTTGAGCTCTTCCAGATATACCATTTATATAAAAACAAATAGCCTTATAAATTCATTAAACTATTTTGGAAGAGTTGGTGGATATATTTGAAAATAGTAATGCTGAATTTCTTTTAAACTATTACATGATTCATAATGGTTCTTAGGAATTAATAAACGATTACTGAGTTTAGCTCTGTATTTCAGGCTGATTAATTAATATGTGGATTATACAGGACCATTGTTGTGCTCAACCTCTTCCTACTCCCCAGCTGTAATATGACAATGATAATCCTTCTCTCCTCATGCATATTAACTGAAATCTTGTGGTTGCTCTGAATGAAAGACCTTGTGGTGCCTGGGCACACAGAGGAGTTCAGCCAAGGACACTGGACATGTCATCAGCCCTGGGCAACTTCAGGCAGAGTGTTGGGAGGTTCCAAGGTCAGTTCCAGCCCCAGGATCCTCTGATCCCAACTAGCTCTGCGGGCAAGCCCGAGAGCTCCAAGCACAATCACCAAGACGCTACCCAAGGAGGGAAGCACGATACCTGAAGGACAGCCAAACCTCAGTCATGCTGATTCTTGGGACCACACAGGAAGACTGAAAGGTATTACTTTTTCAGATTAATTTGTTATAGGTGTCAGCAGAAAACATGTTGTCCTATTAAAGACAACAGGCCTCAAGCAAAAATAAATCAGTAATAATCTATATATTGGGAGAATAGCAATTTAGGGTGGGGGGTGGCTTCCCCTTACAGAAATTGAGACTGCTAACTTGCTTATTTAAAATAGTATGACCAGTGACTAAACATAGTAAATTAACCATAATATAATGAGTTTGGTTTTTAGCAGCTGTATCACAATATATCCATAAAATAGGGTTCTGTGTGGACATGAGAAGCCAAATTATTGTGATACTCTTGACCTTTTCAGCACATTTTGAGAAACCCTCTCTGAGGCCTTTCTCAGGGAAACTGTTTTATTTGAAAACAGAAAAACACTTCTTTTTGAAATCATTGTACTCCATTTGGTACCCAAAACATAGCATTCATTTCTTAGCTCTATATTACTGGTCCTTTTGACTAATTACAAAAATCATATTCACAGAGATGTTTTGCAACATTGAGGACATCTAGATAGAATGCTTTAGGCCGGGTGTGGTGGCTCACACCTGTAATCCCAGCGTTTTGGGAGGCTGAGGAAGGTAGATCACTTGAGGTCAGGAGTTTGAGACCAGCCTAGGCAACAGAGTAAAACACTATCCCAAAAAAAAAAAGAAAAGAAATAAAGATAGCTTTAATATTTTATTAGTGATGCTTTTGAAACAAACATCAATAACTTAGAATTTTAAACAATATCACCCTTAAATTATTTTTATAATGCTTTTCTGCAGTGTGATTAAATCATGGTTAAGGAAACATTAAAAATACTATGTACACATACTGTGATCCTGTAAGATCAAGCAGAGGCTTGTAGGTCACATTCCTCATCCCCTGATTAAGTGATACTGTCTATAATAAGAGAAGCACCATGTTTGAAATGTGGCCCACTGGATGGTAAATAAGAACTCGGGTTGGCAGTACTGAGGAGCCTTGCCATGAGCAGGAAGCAATACCTATTACAATAATGGCAAAACTGAAACCATGCCGGTGTATGGGATTATTTCGATGAGGGGCAAACTACCTTAATAGCTTCTGAGACTATCAATGAAGTGTAAAGCACAGATCAGAGCTCATGTTGTAGACACCGAGTCATTAAAAAAGACTGTTTGTCATACTATGTTTTAAAAGGTAGGGATGCATTAATATATTTTATACAAATGTCAATCTAAATTGTTCAGAATTATAAAGTATACTTCCAAGTGGGAGGTCAGCTTCAGGTATCTCAGATCAATGTGTCATAGTTTTCTGTGATACCAGGCCCTGAAGTCAGTTTCTGTGCCCTTGTACAGCAGATGCAGCTGTACTTTGAGAGACCACAGAGCCGCATCCCTTCATGTGTGTTCTCTCACTATTTGGTACTCTGATACATAATCTTGGTGAATCTGGGACTTTAAAATCTCAAAAAACTATGAGTGCTGTCCAAATAAGAGCTTCCCAAACTCCTGAATAGAATATACCATCCTTGTTCTGGCCTCTTAGGTCTGAACAGCCAATTCAGTGACTTAAAATTAATGTAAGGCAAAAGCAAGTATCATGTATAAAATAGTTTATTACCATAATAAATAAAACTTTTTTTTACAAATATCATTTGTGCTTGTTTAAAAACATTGAGAAGGGAATATCATCAATGGAGGGGCCTGCACGTTTCTCTTAACGTTCCCAAGCCACATATACAGTGGTGTTCTTGGCAGCATTCTCAGCTGACCACAAAAATAGTATCAGCTCATTTACACTTTTGTTTATTCATGCTCATTTGGACAAAGTGACAGATGCAAAGGAAAAAGAAAAACCCAATAAAGGATTTGGCAGGACTCAATCAAGAGTTTTAATATAAGGAGAAGTCCCAGAATGATGAACTGCTCATGAGTAGAAGCGTCCTTGAGGTGTTGGCGAAATGTTGGATGTGGGCAGTCTCCAACTGATGCACAAATACAGCATCGGAATATAAGAGATACATTCATCAGGGGAGGGTGCATCCTTCTTAACGTAAGACCAGTTTGTATCCTGACACAAGATCTGTGAACTTCTCATTGAACTAATGGGTCTGTCAGATGATTCGGAAGTCACAGATAAAGAGACAATGGCTGTAAGAAAAGTGTAATGGCAGGCAGGGTGGCACCCACTGGTCTGGCACCTGCAGGGTATTCAAGTCCAGTTCTAGAGGTTCGAGAATAAGTCTGATATGCTCTCATGAGAACGAAGTTTCACTTGAATTTAAGCTGCAGATAAATTCACATTGATTCTTTTGAGCTGTAGGGGTGGAAATTAAAACTTCTCAACATAAACACCTTTGGTGAGAAAATGTTTTTTTCTCTGATGTTTGCAGTCAGTGCTGAGAGGATCATGAAGTCTCCTCCAGGTGGAGGGCACGGGAGCTGGTGAAGGTAATTTTAATTGAAGCGAGAGAGAAGGCAGTATATAGAGCAGTAACAATGATTTAGCAACAGAGGGGGGCTGTCTGGGGCTTCAAGTGTGCCCTCAGTGGCCTCCTCTTTAAGCAATAGTAGGTGATAAGGGAGAAGAGGGAAGGGGCGTTGGCAGCTCTATCACAGCTGGAGTTCCATTCAAGGGTCTTAAGGCTAAACGTCTTTATTGCAAGACATAGTACAATCTATTAATCAAATGCACATCAGCAATGTGCAGCTCCACCAGGGCTCTTAAGTTTCCCAGAGTATGTATGCATGAGACGTAGTGGTCAGTGCAATAAGGGGAAATGAGGATCCTCCTCTACCTAGTATTCCTAAAGAATTCACTTAGTCCTGAGGGCCTGGACAAAGAGTTTGACAGTTGGCATACCTCTACCTTTTATCTAAGGATTTGGAGAGGAAGCTTGCTGGATGGGATGGGGTGGTATAGTACATTTTTACCACTGCCGAGCTCTCCACACTTCTAAAAGAGGAGGATTCCAGGAAAGGGGCTGATGTTTGGCCAACAGCAGCACACTGGATTGAGGCTGAGGGTAAAACAGGCCCCCGGAACTGGATCACAAGAAGAAATCAAGTAAGAAATGAATTTCCAAAAGTTTGCTGGAAGGCTGCTAAAGGGGCTCAGGTTTTTAAACACTTGGGCCATCCTGTAGCATTAATGTTGTAACCTTATTAGCATAATGTAGCATTGCATTAATTAATGCAAGTAGTTGCATTAACTGTACACTAGACAATTTGGTTTCTTAACTAAATGGTCCCCTTTGTCTCTGTCCTTTGGCTATCTTGTCATGTCCACTGGAGGAGCCCTTTGTATGTATATGGGATGGCAGCGCCCATTGCTGGAGTCACTGCCCCCCAACCAAGAACAAACACACCATCTCGTTGACCACCTCCGTTCTTAGAGTCAACCCTCACCCACCCTTCCATCAGCCAGGGAGAGAATGTCCAACCAGCAGCCAAGTGACAGGGACAGGACCTCCCTACTTCAAAGCAGCATGTCAGGATATTCTCTGGGAAATGGAGCTTCAATATGAATGACATTCAAAGAAAATAATTTTATAGAGATTAACAACCAGCACTTACTGGACAATGATGCCACATACCATGCCCCCTCTCCTCAAAAAGGAAAAACATATCCTGGGCAAATCTGTTCTCTCTTGGCACACTTTTCCTGAAGTCTAAATGTTCTGTCCCATACCTACTAACTTTTTGTTTCCCTAATCTCTCTTTAGCCACCAGATAATGGTTCATACTGGAAGGGCCAGGTCAGTGGTGTCTGAAGCACATGGTCCTGGCTCAGGAACCCAGAGTGGCATCCCGGTGTGGGAAGGCAGTCAGCACAAGCAGCCTGCAGGCAAGTGCACAGCCCGGAAAGGAAGGGAGAAAGGTTTGGCTCATTTACACAATGTTTTTTCAGAGAAAACAATTTACAGCAAAAAAATCCCTCAAATCCTAGGGAGGCTTAAAGGAGAATAATGAAGCCCATGCACCCGCACATGCACCCGTGACCCAAAGATTAGCAGATTCCTGCCGCAGGAGCCACCTTCCAGTCATAAGCCCAGTTTGCATTGATTCAGGAGTGCATTTCTGAAGCTATGCTTCCCCCCAAAACATGTCTGGACCTCAAAGCCTTACAGCATCTTTGTCCCTCATACCCAGAGGTCTGAGAGAGTTCATGGACATCCATCTGCCTCAGGCGGAGCTGGAGGGCAGTGGCAGGGCCTCTTGACAACAGGCTGTGGAGTGCTGGACAAGGAGCCTCTCATCAAGTCCCTGGAGAGCTTGGAGGCAACAAATCTCCAGGAGCAGGTACTTTCTGAGGCTGGGTTTTGGGGTGATTAGAGGCCTGCCCTGCCTTAAACGTGGTGGGTTCTAAACTTCAGAAGTAAGTTGAGGAACATCCTTAAGCAATCGCAAACTAGAATGTTATGTGGCAGCCAACAGATGGGATTCTAGATATTTTACGGCCTCTTACCCAAGGACTGGTTGGCAGCTTCTCAGGTGAAAGAGGCTGAAAGCCTCATGGCTTTATCTGGAGTCACAGACAGTTGTAACTCAGCCTTGGGAAATTAGACTTCCTCTTCTCTGCATGCTGCCATCTGAGGCCAAATCGAATTATGTCACAGCCTGGAGAAGTCAGGGGCAGCCCCTGGAAGCTTCATGTGAGAAGCTACATATGAGGTTAGGGCACATGGAGCAGGACTCCCCCCTGAGCTCCCAGGCCCTGGCTTCCCAGAGCCAACCCTGTGAGCCAGAGGTCAGCCTTGCCTTGCACAATTGAGGGCCAAGCCCTGGGACTCGCCATGAGCACTGGCAGGACTAAGGAGGTGTGGTGGGCAGGCTCGGACCAGAGGCTCTCAGAAACACTGAGTATCTTTGGTAGGGCATAGGTGCCAGGGATGAGGTCACCTTCTAACACAGGCAAAGGCAAGCTCCTTTTGTGAGTCCACGTTGTCACCTGCACTCCTAATTCCACTCCCTCCAAGCTGACTTTCAGAGCTGAACTTCTAACCTTGCTTGTCAATATTTGGGGTCCTGGCTTCTCTGTCTAAGACACATGCCCAGGCCAACTTCACTGTGCCTGGAAGAGACTGTTCCCCTTTCCTTTCTCACATGCCACTGAGAGAAGCCTAAGCACAGCAATAACCTGACTCAGGTGACTACGAGGCCGTGGAGTGTCCTGGAGCATCATGGCCTAGGGACTCAGATAGCCTATATGCAGCTCCGTGACTATCACTGTGAGCTCAGACCTTCCCCGTGGCTCACAGCTCCAGGGCCACTTCTCTCCATCACCTTACAGAGGTAGCTGGAAACTCACAGCTTTTCTCTTTCCAGCTCCTGAAAAGAGCACAACCATGATGCTGCAATCGTCGTCCATTTTCTCTTCAAATCCGACTGACATTAGTAGGACAGAGAGGCCGGCTTGAAAATAAGGCCAAGCATGGCTCCCAAGTGCCTATAATGACCCCATGCAGTGAACAAAATACAAACGGCTGAAGGGCAATCCCAGCGAGAATCAAAGTATAAACATAACACTTGCTACAGTTCTGAGGTTGTGTGTGTCTATGTGTCTGCTTTGTTAATAAAGCAACTCTGGGCTCATGACCCTTCCTGCCGATTCTCCATACCCTGAGGAATGCCACAGGAACACTTGGGAAGAGGCCAAGAAGGAACAGAAGCAAGGGAGCCTGGGTGTGAGGCCAGCAGCATGCAGCAGGGCCAGAGGCTCAGCTGGGGACTCCGGAGCCCTCCCTGCCCACTGGCCCAGAGGAGCAAGCTATGGGCTGCACCACAGAGAACCCCTGGCTCCTAAGGGCCCCTCTCCAGCTCTCACCCTTGCCTCACCTCCCTGGGGAAAGGAGACCTGAGGATTCCCAGCTCCAAGTGTCTATAGAAGGCATGTGCCACCCCTGCAGCTGCTTTTCTGGCCTTAATCATGAGACAAAGTTTCCAGGCTCCACCTTCCTGTCCCTCAAGCTAGTGACAAATGACAACTACAGGAAAACACGGCGATGTCAGACACAGGCTGTGCAAGGACGGGAATGCCGGGAAGTCCCTGGCCCACTCACTGCTGTCCGTGGTAGGGCGGGCTTGGCAAAGGAGCCCAGCATGGTATATACATGAGAGGTTCTCCGCACTTTCCCACCAGTCCCCAGGTGGCTGCTACTCTGTTTTGGTAGTTTTAAACTTTTACAAATATCATGGTAGTAAAAAATTAAAAATCAAGGAAAATACCCTTTAGACAGCATGTCCCTTCTTCCAAAATTGTGCAAAGACAGTTCAGATGCAGCTGCCACCTTGCAGGGCAGAGCACACTACCCTTCCTGTATCTTTTTCCAGATAGAGAAAGGGCGTGCGCATCTGCGCCACTGGCCCCACGTTTCCTGTCAGGAAAAGCCGACTTGAAAAGTGTTGGTCACGTGGACATGTGTGGTCGGGGTGGTGGTGACAGCAGGGTTGGAGGTGTTTGACTTTTTTTTTTTTTTTTTTCTTAATAGACCTCAGCTGGCTCCAAAAATGTCTCTCTCTGATTCTGGGGACTGTGGCCTCGATATTTCAAATAGCTCCTGAGGCGACTGAGAGGATCTTCTGGAGGTTAATATCCTGAGTATCTCAGAGAGCTGTTTCTCAATATTGGTCATTTTGGCGTTCAGGGCCTTGATGTCCTCCTTCAGCTCATGCCTCACCTCCAGGACCGTGGCCTGCAGTGTCTGCTCAGGGATGGGGTAGAAAGAATGCTTGACCTCTGCCAGGATGGGACTCCGATCCTGGGGGCTCCTGGCCTCACCCACGTTGTCCAGGCGCAAGTCGCTCTTGGTGATGCCACTGTCACACGAGTCTGTCTTCTTCAGCGTGGCCTCGCCTGATGCTTTTGTCCTCTCGGGAAGCGTCTCCATTGACTCAGCCTTGGACACTTTGTTCCAGTCCTCGCCCTTCCCGCAAGCATCTTTGAAGCGGGCCCAGCCTTTGCGTTTGGCACAGTCGCCCCCGCCTCCCTTGGGTCCCAGGCACTCGGACCCCGGCGCATGCAGCTTTGCGTGGTCTGGCACCCCAGAGGTGGAGGCTGCCTGGAAGGACACGGGCGTGGCAGGACTCTCACGCACGGTGACCACGCTGGCCTTCACGAGGCTGTGGTTGGCGGAGGCATGCTCTGTGAGGACATTGCCCTTCTCCACATCCAGGTCATCCAGGTCCCGGCCCCCTCTCTCAGCTGCCAGCCTGGCCTCTTTCTGCTGTCGGAACCTCTGGAAGAGGCGCCGGACAGGGTGGTCTGGGGGCAAGATCAGGGGGGCCTCATTCTTCCGTTTCATGCGCTCTTCCTCTTCACGTTTCACATCGCTGATCTTCCGGAACACAATCTGCAGAGAGGAGAGAGAATGACACGCCATGTTAGCCACCTGCTGGCCGCAGCAGCCCAGCTCAGCCCCTCTGCCTATCATGGCCCTCTCCTTCCAGCCCACCTCGTGGGCTGGGGCTCACAGCCTGCAAGGCCTCACGAAGTTTTCTCATGACTGACATCACCCTCCTTTTCTTGACAGTGGCTTCCAGCTTTCCAACAGCTGGGAATGGACTCCCGTGATACTCCCTTCAGGAGGAAAAAAAATCCCATCATTTTCCCTCCCCACATGCCAGGAGGCTGAAGAATCTGAATATTCTCTTCCCAGGAGACTATCGCCAGCCACTGAGCTTGGACTCCCTTAAATCTGTCCTTGTGTGCAATTCAGAATCTTCCGATGAGCCCTTCAAATATCATTTTTCTGGCTCCACTTCAGACGAACTCCATTAGTATCTCTGCACAAAAGTTTGAGTATGTCTGGTCTAAACCACACTTCAGGGCAAGAAAGTTTAGCTGAGTCCCCAGGCAAGGCTACAGCTAAGGCTTCCAGTGCCACCCACAGATCTGGACCCTAAGTGAATGTGGCTGGCTGTGAAAGGTGAAAGCTATTCTCACATGGAAGTCTTCCTTGTCTTTGGGGAGCTTACAGTAGACTAACATCTTATAAAGTTGAACATGAACTTGTCCTAACAGTAATACTCAACACATGGACAGTGCTTTGCAGGTCCTAAGGCACTCTCATGTTACTTCATGTATTCCTTTTGATGGCACTGTAAGGTCACTGGAACACCTGTTATCCCCACTTCAGAGACAAGGAACCCAAAGCTCAGAGTGGCTAAATATCATGCAACAGCTAAGCTGCCTAGAAGGGACTTGTATCCAAGCTACCAAACCCCAGATCCATTAGGTGGCCACCAAGTGATGACAATACGTCATGCAGAGGGATGGATCGTCAGCAAAACAGACTCATGAGTTTGGCTCTGCATGTAGCATAAGCCACAGCTTGTGGTACCTCCCCCTGGGTCACCATCTGACTATGGGAGAGCCCCATGATTTCTGGCTTATATTGCACATGGCAATTAGGCTCTGGGCCATGTTTTGACCCATATCATGTTTGAATTTGTGAGAGGCAGCCTGTAATAGGTTGTCATCTTAATGTAAATTTCTGGTGTGAGGACTAGAGGTATTGAGGTTGCATAGAAGTAGAGGAGAGGCCCGTGGTAAGGGAGAACAGCAGCTTTTCCATCATCCCAATCAAACTTTGTGCCCTGGACAGGCAACTTAGACCAGCCCAGAACCTGTCCCAGGGACTTACCCCATGACCCCTGGCCTTGGGGAGGCACACAGGGTGGCATGCCAGGAGCATGGACTTGGGGGGTCAGAATTAAGTTTAAGTCCCAGCCCCACTACTTAACCATGTAACCTCACACAGGTGTCTTAACTTCCGAGTCTCAGCTTCCTCCTCAGAAAGTGAGAAAAATCTCTACTTTTCAGACTTGGTGTAAAGCTGATACAAGCTGATTTATGTGAAGGCACTGGCCCACTGGAGATGCTTAAATGACTCCTGTTGTCCTTGCCCTTTCAAGGCCTCCAGACGAAGATGACACGAAATTCACCCTACCTCCTCCAAGAGGCCCTGCCCTGAGTTCTCACCAGTAGATTCTCAGGTATGACCAACAAGAAGATTGTTTCATAGTGCCCAGTACAGAGGAGCCAGATAAACAGTTAACTGCTTGATGCTAGGACTCCATCAGCAAATCACTGGCAGACTAGAGGCCCATGTCTGTGCTCTAACTTATTAGTCAGTTTCTGTCACTGGATGATGATATACTGAGGTCACTAACAGGTGGATGGGGGGGTTAAATCTTCCAGCTGTTACCTGGGTTCATGATGTGTGGCTTTTTGACCTCCAATGGGCAGCATTTCTCCCATTCCTGCCTCCTCTGGTCCCCTCCTTAGCTGTACCCTACTGCCCCTATAGTCTGGTTTACAGATCCAAGAAATGAGACTTTGGAGAATCCTGTCCACCCTGAAGAGGGCCAGAGAAACCCAACTACAGGTGTTATGGGGGTATGGGGAAGTGATCAGTAGAGTGATCAGGTCCCTTTTCACTCTGTGCTCTGAGTTGGATGCCCCTGTACACACTGATCTGTTCTGGGAGTACTCTCTGCACTCCATTAAGCATCCAAATCCTCTTCCCACCAGACCCAGCACAAATGCACCTCCTCCAGAAAGTCTTCCTTAATTCCAGTGTGCTCTAAGTTATCCTCCCACCTCCAATGGACTGTTCTTCCATCCTAATTATTCTCTATCTTGTATCCATTTGTAGTAGAGAGGCCAACTTCCTTCTTCCTACTCATATGCCTTCTTAGAGAGGGGAGAAGGAAAGAGGAAGGAGAAAATGGGTGAGAATATGAATCTATCCAAGACATATGATGGCTTTTAGAGCTCATTGCTCTCTTCCTGCCCTTTATTTCTGTAGGAAATCTGATTCCTAACACTACTGGGTTTCTATCCCTTGTAAGCAACAATTCCTGAAGACGAACATAACTTATTCACTCTAAAAGGTCCCTGAGGGCTTAGAACAGTACTTTGCAGGTCACGCTGTATTTTTTACTTTCTAAATTTTTTTTTATCTGCCCTAAAAGAGTAATGATTTTCTGTTTTGTTCCCAATTTCCAGCTCTTCTAAGTACCTAGTACCTAGCAGGCCCTGAGTAAATATTTGTGGAATGAAGAACACATAAATATTGGCTAATGAATCCATGGGAGAATACCTTCTTCCTGGAAAGATGAAATCACAGAGGTCATAGTCAATGTTATAAAAAGCAGGCTTTGGCCTTGACACACATCTCTCTTGACATCGAAGGTCAGGGGCAGCCTTTGAGACTTGACATGAGATGTTCTAAGACTAACGAAAATGAAGTTCTTCAGATATTGAGGAATCAACGCAAAACTGATCCCAAGAGGCTGTAGAGCAGAGTATACCAGTAGGTTTACAAAGGTTTAACATAATTCGTGGTGGATATTTGGGAGGGGCAGTGTGAGTTTCTCTTTGAGGGTGTGGCTAGACTGCGCTTGTCACCCAGATGCTCCATGGGTCCCAATCCTGGACTGACCCAAGCAGCACGTTCAGGTGTTGTGGCTGCGTGGTCAGTGTGGGCAGCTCAGGCACTCACAGGCAGGGCCTTTTGGTGGAACCCTGGGTCTCCGGACCTATGCAGACTTTTTTTTCCAAAGTGTCATCCTAGGCTGCCCTCTATCATCCTGTGTGCTAGAGGCAACCCACCTGAACATCGCTGTCTCAACTAATGGACAGGTGAGCCAGGGAAGAGCTTCCTACCCTACAGAAATGCCTGGTTCTTCCTTTGAGTGTCAGGGGGGTAAAACCAGCAACCCCAGGGAACAAGGCAAAAGGAATTCTTAGAGAACTGATGTGGTCTGACAGCTTTGCTCATCTGGGGTCAAGGGCTCTGCTTACTAACTTCAACTGCTTTTCTGGAGAAGTTAGTCATGGAGTCTGTCTCAGAGGCAGCCATGACCATGCATTTTGCCAAGTATGTTAGATCTGAGTAAGCAGGAGTGGTTGTATGAGTCATGACAATGAGATCTGTGCCACCAGCCACAGCAGCCCTCTGCTTTGAGAGGCTCCACAGCTCCCCATGGCAAGAGTGTATCCTGAGAATGAAGGGCATGACTCCCAACTCCATAACCCAGGATGCTGCCTGCACTGGACAGGCGGTGGATGGAGGCCTGGGGAACAAGTCTGTGCAGCTTGTTATTAAAGCCCCATGAAATACTTTGGGGCTTTAATAGGTACTATGAGTGGGGAAGGTCCCAAGTTAGGTAACTTTGAGTCACACTGCAATGTGAAATGGGTTGCTGTACTGGAGGACTTCTCAGAGCCTTAACACGCTAATATGCCTTATGAATGTCTAAGAGGAAGATATTATATGCAGCATTTCTTAAGCCTGTTCCCTCAGATCCTCTCTTTTGAATGAAAGAACCCCCTCTGGAAAACACGGTATCAATGCATAGGGTATGGGGTGTCCTCTGTATTTGCGTATGGCCCAGACAGCTGAACAGGTGTTTCCTGTTCCAGCTCAAGGCGACCTCCTGTCTCTAACTCTCTTGCTGAACCCCTAGAGTTTGAGAGTTGAGGTCTTCATTGCAGATGCATTACCCCCTGGTGGACAGGCCAGGATCAATCCAAACTCTGTGGCTATAGCCACTGCCCTGTTTGTGAAGCCAAAAGAAGGGATGTATACTGCCCTCCCCCCAAAAATATGCTTCTCATGTTTGTGGTTTAATGGGAGAAAGAAAAAGATCACAGGAGCCTATATGCACCACACACAGGCTCCTGAAGAATGATGTGGAAATAAGAACCTAAAGGACTTCCATTTCCACTCATCCTCCTTTCAAACTGACCTCATGCTGATTTCATCATCTCTGCCCAGCTGATTTCATTTTTTGAACTCTTACATGAGCTCAGAGGGCTGACATTTAAAAGTACCCCTGAGATGAACATTTTTGCAATGAGGAGAGCTGCTCATTGGCTCTTGCCTTCTTTCTTCACATCAGAGATCCTTAGAGATCATAGCAACAGAGAGGTGCTGGGGTCTGTCTGGAGAGGTGGTATCACTGGAAAAGGCCCAGCCCTGAAGATAGAAAACTATCTTCACTGGTACTGGTAACGGGATAAGTCCAGATCCTTCCTGGATCCAGCCAGAGTCCAGCCAGCCCACAGGGGCATTTATTTTCTCTAGCCTGACATGTTGCTCAGAATGCTGAGCAGCTTATGACATTGCAACATGGAGACAGAGGACGCCTGGAGGGCAGGGATGCTGCTGTGGCTTGCTCATCTAACTTGGCATCCCTTTGAGGTTGCACCAAGCAACAGCCCTTGAGCCTGGGAAGATGTACATGGTTGTTGAGCTGAATGGAATTGACACGCAGATCCTTAAGCTACAGGGATTTCTGGGTAATTATTTTCAACTTGGTTTGAAAAACCAATAACCCTGAAATCTGAGGTGTCAGGATGGTCGACCACCTCTTCTGGGTTACATTGAAAGAGGGCCCATCTCCTCTCAAGCCTAACCTATTCTTAAGCTCTAGCCAGGACTAGGCAAGGGAAGGAGGCGTCCCCTCAGGGTCCTGGCAACATGCATGGACCCTGAAAGGCAGGCCTGGAAGGGGAATGGACTTCTGGAATCCTGACAGCAAAAGGATGGGGGGAGGGAACCCAAGTGAGAGCGCAGTTACTTAAAAGAACTTAGATTGTGGAATAAAAATACATATGTAATGTCAATCCTCAGTGGTTTGCATAAACAGGCAGGGGCTGAGTTATGAGTCATTGAAAATTATGGATATATCAAAAGGGATTTAGATGATTTTCTCTTGGATTCAGACATATGTCTCCAATCTGAAATGCTCTGCAGTAGGAAGAGCATGGGCTTGGAGTGGTCCTAGCTCTGCCACTGACTAGCCACTGTGTGACCTTGGGAAAGTTATATCCTCTTCCTTGGCTATACCAGATCAATGGTTCTGCAACCTGGCTGTACTTCAGAATCACTTGAAGAGGTTATCTAGTGAGAGAGAATTTCCCATGGCAGGGTTAGAAACTGGCATTTGCAGCAAGCTCCCAGGTGATTCTGACATGGGCAGCCTGACTCAGGCCTGCTGACCAGGCTCTCAGAACCCCTGGGTAGATGGCTGGTGAGGTCACTGCTGCTTTGCTGTCCCTGTGCATGGACTTCTGCTTACACATGAGTGTGGCCACACATGCCAGACTGAGCCCTCCTAGGTGCTGCCTGGGATTGGAGTGGGGGATGTCCCTAATGAGCCTCTCACTCAGCCTCCCAAGAGAAAACAGGCAAGCCCTGAAATCACCTTCAGCTCTTTCTTAGATCTGACAAAAAGCTGTCTAGAGTTGGGGGGGACACAAAGTCAAGCAAATATTTATTGAGCACTCACAGTCTGCAGGCACTCAGCAGGGCACACACACGGTAGCTCCTTGCTAGTAGGAGCCAGGCCTCTTCTCCCAGGGGTGGGGTCTATGCTGGTGCTGAGTCACGCTGCCTTGAGTAGCTGGGCATCAGAAGGGCCCTAACATCCCCACTAGGCCATTTTGACGTAGCTTTCCTCACCCACCAGCCGCCTCCACCCGTAACCCTGCCGGGTTTTATGGCAGCGCATAAAACATGAAGATTAACAAACTAGGCCATTTAAGAAACTTAAAACATGGAAAAACAAACCACAGATGGGCAGATAGGAAAAGGCAGTTGGTTGGGTTTTACTTTGAGTAAAGGCCACTTCTCAACCCCTCAGAAAGATCACTTTGTTATTATGGCCTCAAATGCTACATTTTTTCCTCAGTATCATGAGGAATATGTGACAGCCCAGAATATGGGAGGCCCTGAATCTCAGAAAGGGGAGGGGACCCCAGAGGGACCCAGGCCAGTTCAGCTAAGCCTGTGTGCCGCCCTGGCCTGAGGCTAGAAGAACAACGCTGTGTCCAGGGATGCCAGGCTCAGGAAATAGAGCAGTAAACTCACAGCTTAAGCACAAATTGCTAAGTGGACCCAGTGTGGGAGGGCGAGGGCAGGAGCCCGTGGAGTCAGCATGGGGTGACAGCACGTGCACAAGCTTTGGAAGTCAGGCAGAGTTGGATCGTGTTCCCCAACCTCAGTTTTATCACAGAATACAACTGATTTCACAGACTGTTCTGAGGATTAAGTAGGGCCTTGAGGAGAGTGCCTAACATTTAATAGTTGCTCAGTAAATGTATTATGTATTACTCTGTGTGGGGGCGACCCTGGAGATGATTCTAGAAGGATGAGCTAGAATTAGGTACAAAAGGTAAAAGAGTTGGGCGAGGGTGTTCCAAACAGGGAACAGCCCACGCCACGACACAGAAGCAGAAACGCCAGCCAGGGAAGAACAGTCTTTGTGGTGGCAGTCCTGGTGGGAGGAGTGGAGGCTGATCGAGAGCTCTGATGTGCCAGGCACGTGTTAAAGGTTGGACCTGTCCCAGCCTTACAGAAATCCCAGCAGGTGGGTACACAGTTATCCTCATTTGCCAAATGATGAAACTGAGTTTGGAAAAAGTGACTACCCAAGAGGACAAAGCGGTGGAGTTGTGAGCCAAACCCAGGCACCCCAAGTCCCCACCCACACCATGGCTGAAGTCATTCTTCTAGGGAAAATGCCTTGATTTTAGGACAAAGGACAGTTTCTCTCAGTATATGTTGGTGACCTCCACTAGTGCTTCTCAGTCTTTGTCGGCTGGCAACATCTCTAAAGAATTCAGGGGCAAAACTAGGAAGTAGCGTATCTGGACAAGGGAAGGCGAGAGGCCAAGAAGCCAAGATTCCCAGACCCTTTGAAGACAGAATGCTCTAGATGCATTAGGCTGTGTGGTCCTTTAACTTGTCAGGATGGACCAATGAGGTGAAACCCAGACTCTGATTGATTGATGAATGTGAAGCAGCACACAAGCCCAACTGTTTGGCTTTTTGGAAAGTCCCGCCTCCCTGGAGGATGCTGAGGTTACCCTGTTGGCCACTCGTGACCTCTGGGCGACAGCCCTAGGGAGGAGGAGTAGGAACGCACAGATGTCCCAGTGGCCTTTACCCAGGAAAACCCTAGAGGCTAGAGCTGTTCTATTCTCAGGGGACCTGGTCCACTGGCTCTCAGTCCACTGCTAACAGGCAGGCCCCTCCCACCACCATGCAGCATCTGCACTTTCTTCTGTCATTAATCAAGAATGACTTGTCTGACCTGTCAGTGACATCCCATAAAGACTGACATCATCTTATTCACTCTTAAGGGCCCCCCCCAGACTGGTGGACATGGGCAGGAGGTGGATTGGACATACCTTCTTTTGACAGACAAACTTCAGGCCTGAAAGACTCCCACAGACTCTCCTGTTCTTCTGTCTTCGGGAAGGTTCAAACTCAAGACAGGTGAGTATCCCTTGTTCCCAGTGCCACCCAGCAAATAAGAATATGCCCCGGGTTACTACTCAGGGAAGAGATGGCATTACTGAGCAGGAGTTTCTGTCCTCTCGCATTTCACTAGGGGCCACATTTGTCACTGTCTCCTTGTTTTGTGCTCTCTAGGTATAGCTGATTGAATTATGACCCTCAAAAGACATGTCCACCCAGAACCTCAGAAGGTGGCCTTATTTGGAATAAGGTTCTGTGCAGATGTAAGTAAGGTGAGGATCTCAGCATGAGTGGGCTCTAGACCAGTGATGAATGTTGTTTTGAAAGCCGGGGCGAAGGCAGAACAAAAAGCAGGGCCGTGGGGAGATGGAGGTAGATACTGGAGTTCCGTAGGATTGCTGACAGCACCCAGAAGCTCAGACAGGCCTGGAATGAACCCTACACCAAATCTCCAGAAGGAACCATGCAGTAGAGAAGTTTATTGCAGACTTCTGGCCTCCAGAACTGTGAGAAGCAATTTCTGTTTTAAGCCACCAAGTCTGTGGTTGTTTGTATGGCAGCCCTCAAACTAGAATACAAGGTCTGCTTCACCACTTCCTCCTCCCTCCCTCCCCTCAGGGGGGGCCTGTCCACAGCCCTGCCCTGTGCTCTCAGGCCTCCACCAGCTGTTCTCCCTTCTGATTCGGTATTCACCCTCATGCAGCTAAGGCCAGCACAGACACTGACAGGACGATGGATGCAAGTACCCACACCCACAGGGTGCTGGTTTCAGACCGGAGGAAATGACTTGATCTTTCAAAGCCTTAGTTGTCTTCTGTACAAAATTCCTACTACTACTTCTTGTAGAGTTGCAATGAAATAACATTTGGGAGAAGCCCCCCTCCCTTCATATTTATAAACCAACGCTGCTTTTCCTTCTGGTCCCAGCTCTAAGCCTAAATATTCCCACTAGTTGTTCTTCGGCGTGGGTGAAGTAGCCAGTCAGGCCAGTAGGAATCAGAACCCCACTTGGGTGAGTGGGAGGAGCAACTGATGAGAGGGGCCAGGTAGAAGACTGTGACTATCACTAGTGACAGATAGGGAGGGGATGGCCCAGGGAAGCAGAGGAGGAGGCAGATAAAACACAACAGGTCTGCTTCTAGACACACACACCAGTTCCTGATGCAAGAGAAACAAAGATGATCCACAAACGCTGAACCTCAACCTGTGGCCTCACCAGCACTAGGTCCCTGGGGGGTGTTTGCAGCCCTGTGGGTATCCTTGGGAAACACATGCTACTAACTCCTATGGGGCTTTGGCTGCTGATGTTGTCCCCCCTCCAGGTGCAAACCACAAGCCTTCCCTTAGCCCTTCCAGAGGCAGTTTCAGCAGCCTGCTTGCCTGCCTATGTCTCCACTCCCAGAAGGTTCTACTCTGATCCCTCAAAGGAGGACAAGTCTTACAGACTGGAGCTTTGAACCTCTTCCTACTTCCATGAAAAGCTCCTTGAAGCATGTGGCCCCACTGGGCAGCCCTCAGGAGTCCTCTCTGTCTTTGCCTCTTCACTCTGACAGTGCACAATGGGCAAGCCTAGAGCCCCTGCCTTCCCCACATCTAGCAGCACTTGCCAACCAGGAAGAAGGACAGAATCACCTGGGGGACTTTTCCAAATACACCTCTAGCCACCACGCCCCTTGTATCCCTCCTTTCCCTTCAACCTCCACCTCTATCTGAGAGCCAGTGCCCTAAGCCTAGAATGAAGATCATGCCAGTAAAGACACACAGGGGGACATGGGGTAAGATTGCCATATAGGATGTATTTCATATTCATGTTTAAAGGACATACACACACGTGTGTGTGCTCAGCAAACAAGATGCCCCTTCTCGGTGTCAGTGTACCAGCTACACACATAGCCCCCTTCTACCAGCTACTCCCAGCCCTCTCTCTGGTTTTTTTCCCTTAGTTACTGACAGGTATCCTATCCTGAGGCACTGGATCTGAAGCCAAAAACAGCTGAGTGGCAGTAGGAAGGGGCAGTATTCCTATCTGTGTTGCCTGAGCCCCCCCATCTACAAGGCATATGCCCAATGCCTGTTCCCCAGGTGGGGAAGAAACTCTCAGCCAGTGAGGGGTCTACAGTCCATAATTCCCAGGGAATCCCCCTGGAGCTGGGCAGTCCCTAGTCCTAGGCCCCCTGGGAAAGCCTCTGTGTGGTGATTTCACAGGACTTCATAGCTCTGTACATCCATTCTTTGGCCAAAACTAAATTTTTCACTGAGGTTTTAAGCCTCAGGTCCTTCTTATGGAGAGACTACATTCTCTCCAAAACTTCATTCCACAAGAAAACAGCTCTGATCAGCCATTCTAACACTCTTTATGCAGTGCCTACTGAATACAGAACAATGAATGAAATGTGTGAGATGGTTGGTCCACATTTAAAGAAAGCTAAGATTCTTCCTCTCAGAAGCTGATGATCCAACAGCTTTCTGGGCCTGAGCTGATCTGGGAAACAGCTGCATTTTACAAAAGGACCAACTGAGAATGAGAAAGGGAGGGGGGATGGGACAGCGCCCATACAGTGTTTGGAGTCTGGATGGTGGTTCAGAGGGTGTTCTAGAGCAATCCAGCCTCTCTTTAGAATGCTGAGACTGATTGATGGAGTTGGCAGTGCTCTATTCTTAGCCATGGATGGGGTCACCAGGCCCTGACGCCACTCTCCTAATGAGAGGGGGCAGCGGAGAGTTCCTGAGCAGCTGCCACCAACTGCTCAAGTCCTTTCTCCAGCTTAGTCATGACGGCAGCTCTGGGAGGTGCTCTGCTGAATGTGCTTTCACGAGGAACTTTTCCACTAGTGGAGAGCATTGCTGCCAGTTTACAGATGTGATGGTGACTCAGAATGGTCACTGGTCATTCACTTGAGTTCTTGGTATGTAGTGCTGACATCCAGCCGAGGTACCAGGTGCATTTCAACAGGTCTGGTCCGATGGTGAGCAAAGCTCACTCAGGGCAGACCGAGGTGGGGAGGGGTGCTGCTTCACCCAGAAGGTGCATCTGACCAGCGAGTTGGAGGCTACCCCTCTGGCACTCCAGTCCAGATACAGCACTTCCCCCAAAGCCTCAGCAATACACAGAACGGGGGATCTCTGCCAGTCAAGTGCCGGGAATTACAAGCGTGGAGTTGAATAAGAGCCTGTGGACTGAGCTATGGCCCTCTATCCCCCGTCCAGAGAGAGAGGGAGCTGTAAGCAGGAGCAGCTGGGTGGGCCCCTACCCCATGACTGGGGGGAGACTGCCAGGTGTGGCTGGGCAGGTCCGTACCCTCCACCACAAACCCCAGAGGGCTGAAGCACTGTCTCTAGTGGGTTGCACAGCCAGTGCCACAGTCTGAGATGAACCCTGAATGATCCAGCCCAGTGGAGAAAGGGCACAAACCAGCACTAGAGGGGTGGGACTGGGCTACATGTTTTAACAAAAAACATAGGAAACCTACGTAGCAACGGGATGGCATTCTTGACAACACAGCAGTACCTACAGGTCAGCAGAAGAGGCGGGCCTAATCTCCCAGCATAAACAAAAAAGACACAGGAAGCTTCCCTAGTAACCTGAAGGAGTCCCTAGAAACCCAGTAACCCCTCCATAGGCAGACAAGCGACCTCATCAAGCAGCTCCCTAACATCACAGCCAGGTAAATCCACAAAGATGTGAAAAAACCAGCTTGAAAAAGATGAAACCATCAGAGACCAGAACACCTCTTCTCCTTCAAGGGATCACAACCTGACCCAGGAGTGTGATGAATTGACAGACACAGGCTTCAGAAGGTGGATAATAAACTCTTTTGAGCTAAAGGAACACATTCTAACTCAATGCAAAGAAACAAAAATCTTGAAAAAAGGTTAGACGAAATGCTAACTAGAATAATCAGCTTAGAGAAGAACATAAATAATAAGTTGATGGAGTTTGAAAACACAGCACAAGGACTATGTGAAGCAAACACAAGTTTTAATAGCTGTATCGATTAAGCAGAAGAAAGGATATCAGAGACTGAAGATCAACTCAATGAAATAAAAAGAGAAGGCAAGACAGAGAAAAAAGAGTGAAAAGAACAAAGCCTCCAAGAAACATGGGATTATGTGAAAAGACCTAATCTATGTTTGATTGGTGTACCTGAATATGATGGGGAGAATGAATCCAAGCTGGAAAACATGCTACAGGATATTATCCAGGAGAACGTCCCATGCCTGGCAAGGCAGTGTAAATTTCAAATCCAAGAAATACAGAGAACTCCACAAAGATATTCCTCAAGAAGAGCAATCCTAAGGCACATAATTGTCAGATTCACCAGGGTTGAAATGAAGGAAAAAATGCTAAGCGCAGCCAGATAGAAAGGTCAGGTCACCCACAGAAGGAAGCCAATCAGACTCACAGCAGATCTCTCGGCAGAAACCCTACAAGCCAGAAGAGAGTGGGGGCCAATATTCAACATCCTTAAAGAAAAGAACTTTCAACCCAGAATCTCATATCCAGCCAAACTAAGCTTTGTAAGTGAAGGAGAAATAAAATCCTTTATGGACAAGCAATTATTGAGAGATTTAGTCACCACCAGACCTGCCTTACAAGAGCTCCAGAAGGAACAGGTACCAGCCACTGCAAAAGCAAACTAGTTGGCAAAGACCAAAAATGCAATGAAGAAAATGAGTCAACTAATGCGAAAGAAAACCAGCCAGTAACAAAATGGCAGGATAAAATTCACACATAACAATAGTAACATTGAATGTAAATGGCCTAAATGCCCCAATGAAAAGACACAGACTGGCAAACTGGACAAAAAGTCAGAACCCCTTGGTGGGCTATATTCAGGAAACTCATCTCACATATAAAGACACACATAGACTCAAAATAAAGGGATGGAAGAAGATTTACCAAGCAAATGGAGAACAATAAAAGCAGGGGTTGCAATCCTAGTCTCTGATAAAATGGACTTCAAACCAACAAAGATCAAAAGAGACAAGGACACTACGTAATGGTAAAAGGATCAATCCAACAGATAGTGCTAACTCTCCTAAATATATATGCCCCCAACACAGGAGCACCCAGATACATAAAGCAAGTTCTTAATGACCTAAAATGAGATTTAGACTCCCACTCAATAATAATGGGAGACTCCAACACTCCACTGTCAATATTAGACAGATCAACAAGACAGAAAATTAACAAGGATATCTAGGACTTGAATGCAGAGCTGGACCAAGTGGACCTAATAGACATATACAGAATGCTCCACCCCAAAGCCACAGAATATATATTTTTCTCAGCTCCACATTGCACTTACTCTAAAATTGACCACATCATTGGAAGGAAATCACTCCTCAGCAAATGCAAAAGAATAGAAATCATAACAAACAGTCTGTCAGACCACAGCACAATCAGACTGGAACTCAGGATCAAGAAACACACTCAAACCCACACAACCACTTGGAAACTGAACAACTTGCTTCTGAGTGTCAACTGGATAAACAATGAAATGAAGGCAGCAATAAAGGTGTTCTTCAAAACTTACTAGAATCTCTGGGATACCTTTAAAGCAGTGTTGAGAGGGAAATTTATAGCGATAAATGCCCACCAGAGAAGAGGAAAGATCTAAAATCAACACCCTATCATCAAAATTGAAAGAGCTAGAGGAGCAAGATAAAAAAAATCTCAAAAGCTAGCAGAAGACAAGAAATAACTAGGATCAGAGCAGAACTGGAGGAGACAGAGACACAAAAAAACCTTCAAAAAATCAATAAATCCAGGAGCTGGTATTTTGAAAAGATCAATAAAATAGACCGCTAGCCAGATTAATAAAAAAGAAAAGGGAGAAGAATCAAATAGATGCAATAAAAAACAATAAAGGGGATATGACCACTGATCCCACAGAAATACAAACTACCATCAGAGATTACTATAAACAGCTCTACTCACATAAACCAGGAAGAAATGGATAAATTCCTAGACACTTGTACTCTACCAAGTCTAAACCAGTAGGAAGTTGAAACCCTCAACAGACCAGTAAGAACGGCTGAAGTAGAGGCAGCAATTAATAGCATACCAACCAAAAAAATCCAGGTTGAGATGGGTTCACAGCTGAATTCCACCAGATGTACAAAGAGAAGCTGGTTCCATTCCTTCTGAAACTGTACCAAACAATACAAAAGGAGGGAATCCTCCCTAACTCATTTCATGAGACCAACATCATCCTGATCCTGAAACCAGGCAGAGACTCAACTAAAAAAGAATACTTCGGGCCAATATCCATGATGAACATCGATGCAAAAATCTTCAATAAAATACTGGCAAACAGATTGCAACAGCACATCAAGAAGCTTATCCATCACGACCAAGTAGGCTTCATCCCAGGGATGCAAGGCTGGTTCAACATACACAAATCCATAAATGTAATCCATCACATAAACGGAACCAAAGACAAAAACCACATAATGATCTCAATAGATGCAGAGAAGGCCTTTGATAAAATTCAACAGCCCTTCATGCTAAAAACTGTCAATAAACTGGGTATTGATGGAATGTATCGTGAAATGATAAAAGCTATATATGACAAACCTACAGCCAATATACTGAACGGGCAAAAGCTGGAAGAATTCCCTTTGAAATCTGGCACTAGACAAGGATGCCCTCTCTCACCACTCCTATTCAATATAGTATTGGAATTTCTAGCCGAGCAATCAGGCAAGAAAAAGAAATAAAGGGTATTCAATTAGGAAAGGAGGAATTCAAACTGTATCTATTTGCAGATGACATGATTGTATATCTAGAAGACCCCATCGTCTCAGCCCAAAACCTTCTCAAACTGATAAGCAACTTCAGCAAAGTCCCAGGATACAAAATCACTGTGCAGAAATCAAAGCATTCCTCTACACCAATAACAGACAGAGAGCCAAATCAAAAGTGAACTGCCATTCAAAATTGCTACAAAGAGAATAAAATACCTAGGAATACAACTAACAAAGGATGTAAAGGACCTCTTCAAGGAGAACTACAAACCACTGCTCAACGAAATAAGAGAGGACACAGATGGAGAAACATTCCATGCTCATGGTTAGAAAGAATCAATATTGTGAAAATGGCCATACTGCCCAAAGTAATCTATAGATTCAACACTATACCCATCAAGCTACCAATGACCTTCTTCACAGAACTGGAAAAAACCACTTTAAGCTTCGTATGGAATCACAAAAGATCCTGCAGAGCCAAGACAATCCTAACCAAAAAGAACAAAGCTGGAGGCATCACACTGCCAGACTTCAAACTATAGTACAAGACTACAGTAATCAAAACAGCATGGTACTGGTACCAAAACAGAGACATAGACCAATGGAACAGAACAGAGACGCCAGAAGAAACACCACACATCTACAACCAACTGATCTTTGACAAACCCGGTAAAAACAAGCAATGGGGAAAGGACTCCATGTTTAATAAATGGTGTGGGGAAAGCTAGCTAGCAATGTGCAGAAAGCAGAAATTGGACCCCTACCTGTCATCTTACACTAAAATTAACTCCAGATGGATCAAAGATTTAAACATAAAACCTAACACCATAAAAACACTAAAAGAAAATGTAGGCAAAACCATCCAGGACACAGGCATAGGCAATGACTTCATGATTAAAACACCAAAAGGAATGACAATAAAAGCCAAGATAGACAAATGGGATCTAATTAAACTTCAGAGCTTCTGTACAGCAAAAGAAACCATCATTAGAGCAAATTGGCAACCAACAGAATGGGAAAAATTTTTTGCAATCTACCCATCTGACAAAAGGCTAACATCCAGAACCTACAAAGAACTAAAACAGATATACAGGAAAAAAACAAACCCATTCAAAAGTGGGTGAAGGATATGAACAGACCCTTTTCAAAAGAAGACATATATGAGACCAAGAAACATAGGAAAAAATGTTCATCATCACTGGTCATTAGAGAAATGCAAATCAAAACTACACTGAGATATCATTTCATGCCAGTTAGAATGGTGATTATTAAAAAATCTAGAGACAACAGATACTGGAGAGGATGTGGAGAAATAAGAACACTCTTACACAGTTGGTGGGAGTGTAAATTAGTTCAAACACTGTGCAAGACAGTGTGGTAGTTTCTCAGGGATCTAGAAATAGATATTCCATTTGACCCAGCAATCCCATTACTGGGTATATACCCAAATAACTATAAATTGTTCTACTATGAAGACACATGCACACTTATGTTCACTGTAGCCCTGTGTACAATAGCAAAGACCTGGAACCAACCCAAATGCCCATCAATGATAGACTGGACAAAGAAAATGTGGTACATATTCACCATGGAATACTATGAAGCCATAAAAAATGATGAGATTATGTCCTTTGTAGGGACTAGGATGAATCTGGAAACCATCGTTCTGACAAATGACACAAGAACAGAAAGCCAAATACCAGATGTTCTTACTCATAGGTGGGTGTTGAACAACAAGAACATGTGGACTCAGGGAGAGGAGCATCAGACACTGGGGGCAGTTGGCAGGGGTGTGGGGGATGGGGAGGGAGGGAAGGGTGGGGAGGGCTAACATGGGGAGGAGTGCCAGATATAGTATGCACCTAAAGTAAAATAAATAAATTTTTAAAAAATTAGTATAGTTTCAGTTTGTTTTCCTGACTGGACCCTGACTGATTGCATGGGGGAGGGAATTCAGGTTCAAGCCTAGCAGGGGGTAGGTGTTCCCAGTGAAACCTAGTGGGAGCTGATATCTTTCTCCCAAAGAAACTAGCAGCATGAGAAGGAAGGACACTTGAATTCCCACCTGGTAACCCAGTCCTCATTTTACTGGGGGCACTGGCTAATGTCACCCTTGCCACTGTCAATCAAGGCTTTGAATTTCTCTTGGGTTCCTTGGTTACCAGGACTTGGGGAGAGGGGCTTTTTCTTCCTTTCTACTCAGTCTATTTTCCTCATTCAGAGGATCTGCTGTTCCTAAAGCTTTCAGAGAACAGCCTGTATAGAGATCTGTGCAGGGAAGGAGGAGGCAGAATTTTATCCAAGTCGATCTTAGAAGTACTGTCTTTTGATGAATCATCACCTGCCCAACTGTGGCCTTGGATGAAACTGTAATGCACAGCCATCTACTGAGCAGGCTGATGCTAAGCATTTTACATACCTCATCTTTCAGCTATCAACCACATGCCTGTGAAATTGAAACTATTATTACTCCTCTTTCAAAGTTGAATTTCAGATTTAGAGAGGTCCTTTGTGGATGGTTTACGAGTCAGTGTGTGACCAGAACGCAAGTCTGCTGATATCCTAGCTTTGCCACCAGGTCTGGGAACCCACAGGCTCCAGAGCTTTACGGGCCTTGAGAAGAGAAGAAATTCATGCTTCTTGACTGGGGAAGCTTCCCTGGGAGTGTCACCAGAGCACTGGAGAGAGCTGAGCACCTGAGGGCAAAGAGAGTCTTCCTGCTGGACCCAAGAAACATGGGCAGGATACCTGCTTATGCCAGGCTCTGAGCTTGTTCCAGGACATGAACTGAACTTCCCTGAGGATTATGATAAACGGTGACCAGTGTTGGTAACCCAGACTCCATGCTGCCTCCCACAGGGGGACTGGGCTCCAGGCCTGGGGGTTGAGAGTTCAGCTTTTCCATCAGGAGTATTCATTTATCTTTCTGGCAGGCCTGCAAGATGCTCTTGCCAAATGGAGAGATGGGATGCATTGATTTCAATCCCAGATTACACACAGAGGTGCTCCTCTTTTCAAGGCCACAACACTAGTAATTTGTCTCTCAAACTGCACATTCACACAAAATCCTTAGTCTGACCCGGCAGACTGTACACTCATGCTGTTGCCACTCACTGCCATGGCGGGTGTGGGAGGTTGTATCCTTCTGGCCCATGGCCAGGGCGCGGGGACTACTGGCTCCTCACTCGTGGAGCCCAGTCCCCATGTGGAGCCTGGCCATGCAGTTTGCCAAGGGCAATATGTCCGAGGCTCCTCTTCTGCTTCCATCAGCCACACGTGCCCAGCAATCCTTGTTGCTGGTACTGTAATCCACATCAATGCATCTGGGAAAGTGGCGGTTTAATATTCATGAGCAGATAATGCAAAATTAGGGGACTTGTGGTGCCTATCAAGCAATTGTACCATCTCTCCTTCCTTTACTCTTATTTTTTCACATGCTATCACTGTAGGTATATGGATTGACAGTTTGTGGATTGCTTTTCTCCTCTTCTGTCAATATATACAAATGGCAAAAGTCAGTCCTAAATCCAATATAGAATGGGAAGGCTGCTATGTTCACTCAAGGAGTAACCTTTAGTATTTCAGTTGACCTAGAGGTTGAAAGCAGTTAAGGATCTGGACAGTTTAGCTTTCCCATTCCACACCTAGAAGCTACTCAGCCCACAGACCTGAAGCAGGTATGCCCATCTTGGCTTCCTCCGTTAGGGAGGAAGCAGAAGGAGAATAAACACTGCAGACTGGCCCCACCAGATCAGTTCTGACCACGGTGGGCTGGTGCCTCCCATAGCTCACCCCGTGGGAGATCCCCAAGACCCAAGGGGTCTGGAGAAAGCAGAAGTGAGCTCCTGGTCCAGGGGAACAGGGCATCTGAGAAGGACAAAGGCCTTAAGAGAAGAATAGATAGAGCATAACCAGATGAAGAGAAGGTAAAAGAGAAAGGGCAGAGAAGAAGGCACAGAGCCAGCAAAATGACAGAGAAATGAGCCTTTATATACAAGAATCACAGAGGGAGGGGAGCCCCTTGTCACCTGATAATGATGGTGGCTGCCAGATGTGGGGCTGTCCTGTGCACTGGATTCTGTTGTAAACACTTTACGTACATTATTTCCATGAACTTGAACAACCACCCTATGGTAGCCACTATTGTAATCCCATTTCGGAAAGGAGGAAGCAGGGGGCAAGACTGTACACGGTAAGAGGCTGAACCCAGGCTTGCCACCTCCAGAGCCTGAGGGCACGGTGCCTGCCTGCTGTCCAGCCTGCATCCCCCTGCGGAGGCCACGGGCAGCTGCCCCTTCCTCTTTGATACTCACTAGGAGTAGAGAACCAGGACTCCCCACCTTTATTTGATAATGAGACTCTCTTTCCTTTTCACCATTGTCATCTCCCAGCCTACTGTGCACCCATATAAAGTAAGCATATTTCTCCAGCTGGATTTCTACCTCACACTCTCTGTCCCTGTGTTTTGGACCTTCCCCTCCCCAGGTAAATCTCTCTTTGCTCCATTCTTGTACCCACTGTAAAGAGAAGAGTAGGCATGTGTGGTAAATGAAACATAATGTACACAAAGCCCATGGCATCCCCAATCCTCAATAAATGCGTGTCTGCATCTCCCCACCCTGGACTGAAAGTTTTGCCTTCCTTGTACTGAGAATGTGGCCCTCGCGTGTCACTGATTCAAGAGGAGGGGCAGTCCTATGCCAGGCCAAACGAGCTGTATTTGGTCAAACCTGGGCACAGTGTGGACACAGACCTGTTCAGAGAAAGACTGGCAGAGGAATACCTTTGTAGTATGAGGACAACAATGGCCAAGAGAGAGCCCAAGTCTGCCAAGGAGGAGCTTTGAGAAGCCATCTTTGGTGCAGGAGTGGAATCTCTCAGGCCTAGGTGGGTGGATCCCCAGTCAGCAAGCACAGCCACTCAGCATAAGCTAAGAACAGAGGGAACCAGAGAAGCTGGATGGAAGGTGGCTGAAGAGCTTCACTGCCCACCAGTGGCAGGACCTACCTGTTCCTATGAGCCCTCAACCCCCAGCTCCCAATCCCACCCCATCTCCAATTTTCAGTGACATTTCAAAAATGTTTCACCAATGGACCACATTCTACACATGACTTTTTCCTGGAGTAAAGAAAAAATGATTAATAAAAAAGCTAGTTAACCAGATGAGTATAGCTGGCAGCTGGGTTACAATTACTTACTTTATGAATGTGGACGCTGAGGCACCAAGGTGTTTGGCTAGTAAGTGGCAGGGCCAGCTAGAGTTTGAACCTAGGTACGAGCCCACAAACCCAAGCTTATTTTGCCTTCCTCCTGACCAGCTACCAAAGACTCAGCCACCCATCAGTGGCAACTCCCAGGGATTAAATTAAATTGGCTGGGACAGCAAGAGCCAGAGATGATGGTCTCAGATCCCCATCCCATCTCGGGAAGGATCCTCTGTCCTGCCACAGCCCCTTGAAAATCAGCCAAGTGAGGAAAGGACAAACCACCAGGCAAGCCAGGAAGTCATGAGCCCCCAAAGCTGGTGTTCAAAAGACATCTTTTTATATGTAATGCTTGCAACAAGTATACTCTCTTCCTGTACGTGGTGAGGAGGCCACCAGGAATGACAAACACAGTGAGAGGCTCACAGAAGCAAGGAATGAAACGCTGCTATCTTCTTTGGTATAGGGAGCAGAGACTTGACTGTCTGACACAACTCACAGGTTTCTGCCAATTCCCAGCCGCAGATATGGGGTGTCCAAGCAAGCCTCACGCTCTCATCTGGGCTCCTCTGGCCAGGAGCGTGAGGCCCGAGGCTGGGGTATACAGCACACCAGGGTCCAAGAACTTGCTAACTCCTTCAAAGGTGCTCTGTGTGGGTTTCAACAGTGCTGCAGTCTGCTGCCTTTCTTCCCACCTTCCCCCTGCGTTCTCTTTGTCTTTCTCTTACTGATTTGTCATCTCTCTGTATATATTTTAGGTCTTAATTTGTTGCTATTTACATCTGTGGAAAAAATCTTGTCCTAATCCAGCAGTTGGCAAGCCGTTTCTGTAAATGACCAGATAGTAAATATTTTTGGCTTTGCAGGCTACTCAATCCTGCCACTGTAGCACACAAACAGACAAAATGGAAACAAATGGGCACGGATGTGTTCCAGCAGAGCTTCATTTACATAAGTCGGCGGTGGGCCAGGACTGGCTCAGGTTGTAGTTTGCTAACCACTGTCTTGGCCCACAGCTTGTCTTTTAATCATTTTTATGGTCTTTTGTTGTCTCAAAGTTTTTCACTTTAATAATCACATTTTTCTCTTTTCATTTATGATTTGTACCTTTTAGTTTCTTTCTTTTTATTCTTTTGGTAGAGGCAGGGGTCTCACTATTTTGCCCAAGTTGATCTTGAACTCCTAACCTTGAGCAATCCTCTCACCTCAGCCTCATAAAGTGCTGGGATTGTAATCCCAGGTCTCAGCCACCATGCCTGGCTTGGTTTGTACTTTTGTATAGATCAGTCACTATGTAGGTGAGGATACTAAGGCCCAGAGAGGGAGAGTGGCTTACTAAGGTCATAAAATTTCTCTGTAGCAGAGCTTTCTTCTAAGATTCTAAGGCACCAACTTGGGATCAGACAGCCTTGGCTTTGAATTTTGGCTGTTATTTATTAGCAATGCTTGGGCAAGCTTTTTTTTTTTTTTAACCTTCAATATAATCCTTTCTTCTCCCTGAAGTTAACCTTCCTTCTATCTTTCTTTTATTTGCCTTTTGTCCACAAACCTATCACTAATTTATTTCACATGTTCAAATACCTCTATCATGTGCCCCCAAAAGTATTTTCCATGTTTCTAAAAACATTAGTTCCATGTTTCCCCCATAGACATCATTTCTGAGGCCCTCTGTCCCCTTGGTCAAATATCATCTGGCTGTTTTCCAGTGCTGAGATCTCCCTCCACTGCTGACCTATAACTATTTTTTCTTAGTTTTCTACTCATTTTGCTGGAGCACATCCTCTAGTGGTTCTTCAGAAAAAATGCCCCCAAAGCCACTGAAATTCCTGCACTCTTAAAATTATTTTTTATCCTCGCCCTTGTATAATAATTTGTGGCATGGAATTCTTGGTGGAAATTCATTTTCTATCAGAATTTTCAAAGTATTTGTTTATTAGCTTCTATAAGTCAACACTGTGAACTGGCTAGTCATGTGCAGAAACCAGAAACTGGACCCCTTCCTGACACCTTACACTAAAATTAACTCCATATGGATTAAAGACTCAAACATAAGACCTAACACCATAAAAACACTAGAAGAAAACCTAGGCAAAACCATCCAGGACATAGGCCCAGGCAAGGACTTCATGACTAAAACACCAAAAGCAATGGCAACAAAAGCAAAAATAGACAAATGGGATCTAACTAAACTCCAGAGCTTCTGCACAGCAAAAGAAACAGTCATTAGAGTGAACTGGCAATCAACAGAATGGGAAAAAATTTTTGCAGTCTACCCATCTGACAAAGGGCTAATATCCAGAATCTACAAAGAACTAAAACAGATTTACAAGAAAAAAACAAACCCATTCAAAAGTGGGTGAAGGATATGAACAGACACTTTTCAAAAGAAGACATATATGAGACCAAGAAACATAGGAAAAAATGTCCATCATCACTGGTCATTAGAGAAATGCAAATCAAAACTACATTGAGATACCATCTCACGCCAGTTAGAATGGCAATCATTAAAAAATCCAGAGACAACAGATGCTTGAGAGGATGTGGAGAAATAAGAACACTTTGACAGAGTTGGTGGGAGTGTAAATTAGTTCAACCATTGTGGAAGACAGTGTGGCAATTCCTCAAGGACCTAGAAATAGAAATTCCATTTGACCCAGCAATCCCATTATTGGGTATATATCCAAAGGATTATAAATCGTTCTACTATAAGGACACATGCACATGAATGTTTATTGTAGCACCGTTTACAATAGCAAAGACCTGGAACCAACCCAAATGCCCATCAATGATAGACTGGACAGGGAAAATGTGGCACATATACACCATGGAATACTATGGAGCCATAAAAAACGATGAGTTCATGTCCTTTGTAGGGACATGGATGAACCCGGAAACCATCATTCTCAGCAAAGTGACACAAGAACAGAAAATCAAACACCACATGTTCTCACTCATAGGCAGGTGTTGAACAATGAGAACACATGGACACAGATAGGGGAGCATCACACACTGTGGTCTGTGTGGGGGGACCTAGGGGAGAGACAGCTGGAGGTGGGGAGTTGGGGAGGGATAACATGGGGAGAAATGCCAGGTAAGTGATGGGGAGGAAGGCAGCAAACCACATTGCCATGTACGTACCTATGCAATAATCCTGCATGTTCTTCACATGTACCCCAAAACCTAAAATGCAATTAAAAAAAAAAAGATACCCACTCTGATTGCTAATCCTTTGAGGGTAATTTAAGTATATCACTTTGGAAGATTTAAAGATTTTTTTTTTAACCCCTGAAAGTTACAGGATTTCATAACACTGTGCTTTTTGATGTGGGTCTTTTTTACTCAAAGATTTGGACCCTTGGTGGCACTGTAATCTGAGGATTCTTGTTCCTCAGATAAAAGTGTTCTTACATTATGTCCTTTGATCGTTTTTCTCCCCTCCATTTTGTGACTTTCTTTGAACTCCTGTGAGTTGAAATGTACAGCTGATGTTTTAATTTTATTACCTTCCCCCTCCCCTTTTTCCTTATCCTTTGTCTTTTTATCTTCTATAAGATTTCTTTAACTGTATTTTCCAGAGTTGGTATTATGTTTTAAACTTTCTGCTATCTTATTTTTTAAAAATCAAAAGCTCTTGCTTCTTTTGAATGTGTAAACAGCATCCTGTTTTGTTTCATGGGTATATGGACTTGATGTGTTCACTGTAAGCATCTTCCTTTTGATCCTTGCATCATCTCTACCGTCACTGGGTTGCGCGAGGTAGAGTTGTGGAGCTGGAAGTCTTACTATTCCAAATAAGGACTTTCAGCCAACCCCCTGAATTTAGCGCTGCAGTTGACCTCCTCCTCGCCCCATGGTGATTTGTGCTTCTAAGGCCAGAGCTTTCTTGGGCTTTGCAAGAGAAAAAAAAAATGGCTCCTTTTCCATTGTTAGCCCCTTCTGCATCCGTGCTGCAGCCTCTTCAGCTTTACTAATCAGTTACCTTTCCTCCATCTTTCAAAATCACTTATCTGCTACTTTCTCTTCTCCCAAGTTTTAACAAGTTGAGCCTTCTGGGTTTCTATATTTAAAAAAATTCTTTTTGTATCATTTCATTGGGTTTTCTGGAAAGTGAAGAAATAGATGTTTGTGGCTAATCTCCCAAGTTTAACACAATTTTATTCCTTTAATTTTTAGAAGGTATACCAGAAGCCCTTTCTGACCAACTTAGAATCCAGAATTCATAAAATAAAAATAAATTTGGTTACAAAAAAATTCCTTCTTCATGGCGAAAATCAACATGTGCAAGTTAAAAGACAAATGGGAAAATACTTGTAATTTATATTATGCAAAAACTGCTCCTGAAAATAATAAAAGACCCCAGTATTCCTATTTTTAAAATAAATAGATATGAAGAGAGATCACAGAAAAGGAAATTTAAATGACTTCTAAGCATATGAAAAAATACTAAATCTCACCTCAATATGAGAGATACACATTAAAACTACGCTGAGATATCACTTGTTTAATTTATCAGATTGCTTAAAATCCAGAAGTCTGACCCCACACTTGGATAATAGAGAGTGGGGAAACAAGCATTTTCATACATCACTGGCAAGTTTGTTTAACCTTTTTGGATATCAGTTTTCTCATCTATAAAATAGAGCTAATACAGCACTTTGGGAGGCCAAGGTGGGTGGATCACGAGGTCAAGAGATCGAGACCATCCTGGTCAACATGGTGAAACCCTGACTCTACTAAAAATACAAAAAATTAGCTGGGCATGGTGGCGCGTGCCTGTAATCCCAGCTACTCAGGAGGCTGAGGCAGGAGAATTGCCTGAACCCGGGAGGCGGAGGTTGCGGTGAGCCAAGATTGCGCCATTGCACTCCAGCCTGGGTAACGAGCAAAACTCCGTCTCAAAAAAAAAAATAGAGCTAATAACAGTGCCTACCTGCTTTATACAGTAATTGTACTCATGTAAATGCCATGGGTGTAAATGTCTGACACACAACTAGTACTCATTTAATAAATGTTGATTATTAACATGTATTTGCTGTGTCATGTTTTTCTTCAGTGATAATGTTACAAAAGACAAGATTAAATGCTGCCTTTCTAACTCAGATCTCTGAGAACAGAGACTATGTCTCACATTTCTGTTTCTTCCGGAGCCCTGCAGAGGGCAGGACCCAAAGCATCTGCTCATGAAACACCTAATCTCTGAGGGACAGTATCCATTTTTACGTAAAATCTGTAATCTCAGGCTTGTGCTGAGTTTCTAATTATACTGTGAATTGGCCCAGCCCCAAAGCAGGAAGGCACAGCTGGAATCCAGGCGCCAGGCAAGGGGGATGTCAGTATTCAAAGATGGTGCTCCATGTTAAAGTGAGGGTGCATCCCATAGGCCAAGCACTCTATGAGCAACAAGACACCTCTCCAGGACTGTCACCAGTGCCCAGCCGTTAGTGTAAGGAAACAATGCCAGGGCAAGGAGAGGTGCCCTGGGCCAGAGCAGACATCACAATTCAATCTCTCTGGGTCAAGGGTGGAGAAAGCTTCTGGTCCCACCTGAGAACATGTGTCAAAGGCGGTGGCCCTTCCTGCCTCCCTCCCTTTTAAAGGAAGGGAGGGAGCTGAGGAGCAGCACAGTGTCCTGCTGTCTCAATAGCAGGAGGGTCCTTGACTTCCTGGCCATTTCAGTGTTTAGGTTATCAACCTCATTTCTAATAACAATCTCCACGCCTAGAAGATTAGAGGTCTATCACAGCCTTTCCTTCAATTCACTCCCATTTCTCCTCCTTTGTTTCCTCTGATAACAAAGGCAGAAGAGCCCCAGGATGATGCTAAAACCAGAAGGGACCTGGCCCAGTCATCTGTCTTGAGGCTGGTGATTTTCTAAACTGTTACATGCGACAGCCATTACTTCTGCCATTATTAACAATATGAAAATTGACACTTGTTCCTACTTTATGGTTGACAGAAAGCCAGCACACACGTGATCTCATTTGGGATCACATATGTGGGGGCAAGTGTCCTTATTTTGTATAAATGAGGAGACAGAGGCTGAGAGAGACAAGGTCTCTGGCTCTCCCAAACCTAAATGCTATTCTCACTTTGAAGGTTTAGAGTTAAAAGTCCATATATGCCTCAGTAGCCAAGTCTGTATTTAATCATCTAACAGTGAACTTTATAAACCTACACATAATTTTGTTTATTATTTAAACCCAGTTCCACTGGGTCACCCCTTCTCAGACATGGAGAACAACTGGTCAATACCATTCCTGCCTACACATACTTTGCAGAGCCAGGGACAGCAAATGATTCATCTAGAAACCTCACTGCCAAACTGCAAGCCCAAGCTCTCCTTCCCTTCTCTAGGGTTTGTGGGGTTGAAGGTCGGGAGGGTAGGATGGAGGTGGGGAGTCTTTGGTCTGAATTTTCCGAGGCAGGAAATGGGGAGAAGAAGGTAGGGAGGTAGGGCAGCCCCTGCTCAGGAGACAAAAATTGATCTCACCTTCATTAACAACTTTGAAGAAAGACACATTTCATTCTCCCTCCCCTCTACCACCTCTGCCAGGCTGAGGGTGGAGAAAAGAGCAGAGGGCACTCACAGAGAAGTACCTGAAATAGGCAAGACCAGCCACCTTCTCCAGAGGAAAGGAATTGTCAGCTCAAGCCCCTGATGAGAAAACCCTTTCTTCTAAGTCTTCAGACCTGAACTCTCCTGCAGTCCGCAGGCCTGCAGACTCTCTGTCCACTTGCTCAAGCCCCTGAGGAGCTGACAAAGCTGGCAGAGAAGAACTGCAGGCCTTGTAAGTCTCTCCTCCCTTCTGTAACACATGGAGGTCAGACAGAGAAAACGAACTTCCAGAGAGGTGTAATTTTGGGCTAACCAAGCAGCATCCAACCAAGCAACAGTGACAGAGTCTTAGGGCTGGATGTCCTGGGAGCTGGGGAACAGTGTTCTGGTCCCATTGAAGCCAGAGGGTCGACCCTGGCCCAGAGGTAGAACCCATTTGGTATAAGTTTCCATAGCCAAAAGAGAGAAAAGGCTAAAACCACTCTAAACCTAGCATCATTGCTTTGAATATATAGTGAAAGGAAAGAGCTCAGTTGATGGATCTCAGGGCTTTCAACTCTGAGGCCTCCTCACCTCTTTGGTCTTCCCTCCTCCTGTGGGATCAGCACCTTCCCCATGCTCTGTAGCTCTAAGTCAGGGTCTCCCCTGTGATCAGCCATCTCTTTTTCTTTACCTCCCCCCATCCCCAGTTACACTGTGTGTCTCCCCAGTATCTGGGCATCTCAATCCCAATCCCATTCTGCTTCTGTACCAGGCCAGTCCTAAAGAGTGTTCCTCCAACTGTAATCATAATTAGCAGCAGCACTGAATGCTGAGAGCCAGGTGATACTTGCACATTGTATTTTGCTTTACCCTTACAATGATGTAGGTGTCATCACTGGCCCAGATGAAGGAATAGAGACTTGGAGTGGTGAAATGGGAGCGACAAGATTCCAACCCACAGTCAGGTTCCAGATCCTGTCCTTTTGCCCCTTAGTTCTAATGCTCATTGTCACTAGTTTCATTCATTCTGAAATTTCTACTCTTCCACAAAGCCGTCTATAGTAAACAGAAGGAGGAGGAAGTTCCCATTCCAGATTCACTCAGCCTTTGCTGCCATCAGCTCCATGGAATTCAGACACCAGCTCTTGCAGGGGCAGACCGTGCCTGGGTGGGGAGCATTCCACGGAGGGCTTGCTCTGCCCCTTCTCAGTCCCCAGTCATATGTGCAGGGGATGCAAACAACCTTTAATAGTTGCCAGAGCAAAATGCAGTGTGGAAAGTAAAATCTAACACAAAATAAGCAAAGCGTTTGAGAGTCAAATAAAACTGACCTTTGCTTTCGCCACTGTTTGGGATTATGTGAGCCATGGCTGGTGACTCAGAACCGGCTTGATGGATACCGAATGATTTAACTAGAACCAAAAACTGTCAGGGCTGGAAAGGACTGCACATATCACTTTAACTCCTCTGTGTTACCGATGAGGAAACTGAGTCC